GCAACCACCATAAAAAGTTGGAATGACTTCCTGAAGGACTTCATGCATCTGATGTAAAAGACAAGTACCCTAAAAATGTCCAGTGAGTGCAACAGCTGTTGCCTTACATTAGCATGCGGCTTAGGATAGAAAACTTGAGGAAAATGTCTTGACTTAGGTGGAATTAAGAAATCACCTTGGGAAGGAAGACTGGGTGAAGCCTGTGAAAGACTATATAAGGGGGCTTGGATGTGAGTGCTCTTAGCTCCAACACCTTTCCAGGACAGGTGTGAATGCATTCGTTAGAGACTCTGGATTATGACCGTAGAATGAGGAAAAGAGGGGCATTTCTTGTTGCTTTCCATCGCAAACAGAGCTACCTGAGGAAACTCCCAGCAACAGAAGATGGATTGGAGGATGTCGCCCTTCACCAACCACTCATAGCTGAGAAATGACCTGCTGAGACAGTCCACCACTACATTCCAGAGCTCTGAGAAGTGTATAGAGTGGGCTATGCTATGCAAAACTCCCAGAAGAGAGCTTCTTGACATAGTGGTGACGACCTCACACCCCCGTTTATTAATATAGAACATAGTGGTGTTGTCTGTCAGAACAGACACACTGTGATCTTCCATAGTGGTGTGAAAGGTATGACAAGCCAAACCAACTGCCCCGAGCAACCTGACATTGAGTTTCTTTTACACATCATCTTCTGATCACCTGCACTGAGTCTGCAGCCCAAATAAACCCCTTCCCAAATATACCCCCCCCCCCCCAAACAGAGATTGGATGCATTCATGACTAGTGTTCTCTCGAGTTGGGGAGCATGAAAGGGTCAGGGTTGAGGCATGGTCAGGACTAGTGTCAGGCTGTCCCAGCCACAGAGGTAGACCAACTAGACCCACGCCTGGAGTGGCCTCAACCTCAAGTGCACGACTACGCATGTACAACGAGAAGTCCTGTGGCACCTTATAAACTAATAGATTTATTGGAGCATAAGCTTTCATGGGCAAAGACCCACTTCGTCAGATGCATGTAGTGGAAATTCCAACCATGTGAAAAGTGCATTACCACATGACAGAGGAGACTCAGGCAGCTACACACTATGGTTGTGGGAAAACACTCTAGAGATTGGATGAGTCAAGCAATGACTTGGAATCTCAATTCTGGCAGAAAAGCTCTCACCACTATTGAGTCAAGGACTGCTCCTATGAACTCTA